AATAAATTAGGAAATATTCTAGAGCAACATTAGCACGAAAAGTATAGTGCTAAACAATAACAAAGATAGTAATACAAGAATTATTCTAGAATGGATAACATTTCAAGGATAAATGCTAGTAAAAATCGAACAAGGAATAGTGATGATCTTGGGCGAAGATCAAGTGTAACAATGGGTAACATTTCAAGGGTAAATGCTAATAAAAATCAGGCAAGGGGTAGTGATAATCTTGGGCAAAGATCAAGTGTAACAATATATAACATGTAATTATTTAATAATACCGCAACAAGTATATCTGCAGAATATATATTTTTAATTAATAAAATTTAATAATTGATACAAAAAACAGATTATTAAATAAAACAGAGCATACATATGTTTAAAATTATAGTAACAAGAAATTTTAGTAAATAATAGTTAAATTCTATTTTTATACTGTTACGATGAAATACGGCGAGTCTGTCACTTCTGTTCTGTCTATGCCGTACTATGTTGGAGAATAGTTTCTCCTCAAAAGAGATGTGTATATTTGGCTCAAGTTTAACAATGACGCAGGTCGATCCGTCGATCGTGCATCGTAACTGCCAACCTCCTGCGTGGTTACTCCTTTGTTTAGTGACACTCTCAAGATATATAGCCTTTTTAGTGCATAGTGCCTATCCTTCTTAATTGACATATTTTCATATCGTCATCTTATTTTTATACTTTTTATGCCTAATATAATTTAGCCAGCTTTGGACTTATTATCTAACTTTATACTTATTGTCTATATTATACTTGATAATTACTCATTATACCTGTTAGATATTTAAAGATACTAGAATATACTAGAAATACTAGATATTTTTTGCATATCTATTATATTACTTTTTATATTCTACTTCATTTTACTTTTATTTTTCTCATTATTTAGATAATTCATTTTTCACTTTAACACTGCTCATTCTTTTTGCTATATGGAAAAGTTGGTTTTTAGAATCAGGATCTGTTTTAATTCTTGTGTTAATTAGATGTATTGTGTTGGATGTTTTGTTTAAGTATATCTGTGGTGTGTTTCTTTTGTATGTTGTTTTATTTGGGATTTTCTTCAAAGCTTGCTCTATTCCTTTAGGAGTGGAACATAGCCTGTCTTCATTTATACCAATGTTTTTTTCCAGGAGTGCGGCTGCAGATTTTCTATTATTTTGTACTGTAATGTCAACTGCTTTTGAACTGTCTATTTATATAATACATTGTTACTGTTCTTGATATTTTGAAATGATTTGGTGATTGTTGAGTGTGCAACCCTTATATTTGTATAGTGGTGAGTTGTTTTTTTCTTGGATAATGTAATAATAGATTGCTGTATTCTGATTGGTTATTTTTTTCCACTTTGTCATGATTATGTTTTTTTTGATTGAGGTTGCTATCCATTTATTTGTACGTTGCTTGTCCAGGTAATATAATGGATTGTTGGTTTTGAAAGAATTGGTTGAACTTTTTTGGTTTGATAGTGTTTTGAGATTGTCGTAGTTGTTCTTGCTGGCATTGGTGCATAGGATTTTCCTGATATCATGGTACCATTTGGGAGTTTGTTCTTGTCTTTCTATTGTTCCCTTGAGCTGTTGCCATGTAAGCATTCTAGTTAAGTTTGTGTTGAGGAGCTGTTCTACATATAGTTTTTTCTGTTCTTGAGTGCTCCTTTGTTTCTGTTGTACCATTCCAATGATGTAATGGATTCTATTGGGGTGTCATCTTCTTTTGGTGCTATTGCTAGTATAGAATATTTAGTTGCAGAAAAGGTTATACTGTGGATTTTGAGTAAGTATATTGTATTCTTGATAAGATTGTTGTGTTTGTGTAGCCATTTGGGATATGTGTCTGAAAGAATTGATTGTGCTGACCAGGTATTGTTTTGAAGTTGTTGTAGGCGAATTTGTGCAGTTTTTTCACAAGTGTCTTTGCTTTGTATTCTGTTAAACCAGTTGCTTCCATGCATCAGTATTTGTCTGTTCCAGATGTTGAAGAGTTTGTAACCAAAGTCTGCATAAATTATACTGTTGGGAGTTGTAATTGGAAGATTACTTTTGTGTTTGAAAGCTTTTAAAAGTTTGCTGTTGAGCTTATTGCATTCCTTTTTTGTGAGTGTAGTGTTATTTAATAAGTATTCGATTGCTGGCATAAGAACTTGATTGATTATATAATGGCATTGTTTGTTTGTTATTTTTTTCCATGTTAGTAGTTTTGCTGTTGTTGTTATTTTTTCTTGTATTATGTTTTTTTGGAAACATTTGCTTCCTGACTCTGTGATCCAGGTTCCTAAAATTCTAATTAGTATGTTTCTTTCTTGCAGTATTACTTGAGTTCCTGTCATGTCTATTCCATTTCTCCTGTCTTGGTCTGATACATTGATACATATTAGTTCAGATTTGTTCCCATTGGCTTTGATGTCATTGATTAAGAAGAATTCTGTTGCAGTTTCTAATATTTGAGACATGTTGTTCTTGTTGTTGGCAAACCAAGTTGTGTCATCCATGTATACTGATGAAGTTATCTGTATACTGTTTTTTGTAATGGGAATTTTGTCAAAAGTGTTGTGAATTGATAGGTCTTTATGATATTCTGTCGACATTGTGTACCCTGTACATGATTTTGAGACTTTTTGAAGAAGTGGATCATAGAAGTACACCACAGAAGTGGTGATATTGTGTCCCCTTAATCTATGCCATCTTCCACAATGTATGGGTTTGAAAGTCCATGTACTGTTATGACTTGGTTTTCTCTATTAGAGATTAGGTCTTGTAGTATTTGTTTGATTTGTGCTGGCACTTGTATTCTGTTTAGTGATTTTATTAGCATGTGCTGGCTGATTGAATCGAAGGCTTTGCTTATATCCTGGCTGAAGATTCACAACTCTTTGTTGTTTTCTCTGGCATCTTCCACTATGTTATTTAGGATATGTATAGGCTATTGTGTGCTGTTTTCAGGAAGGCCTGCCCAGTTGTTCTGCGATAAAATTGGATGTTGTGATATTGTTGATGCTAGTCTTTTGTTCAGTATACCTGTGAAAAGCTTTTTGATTGTTTCTAGAAGTGTGATAGGACGTGTGATTGTTATGTCTTCCATTCAATCTTTGGGCTTTGGTATTGGATATATGTTTCCTTTTTTCCAGTTATAGGGAATTGTATCTGTAGATAGAATTTTGTTAAATATGTTTCTGATGATTCTATACTATGAGGGCCCATGTGTTTGTAAATAATATATAGAATATTTAGTGGTCCTGAAGCGAAGTATGGTTTTTTGCTTTTGATTTCTGTTCTAATTTCCTCTAGTATTATTGATATTGTATAGTTGTTGTACCATTCTGAATTGATATGTTCTTTGGGTTTATATTGCTCTGCCCACCTTGGAAAGTTTTGTAGTGATCTGGTATTCCTTCTTCTCGTCCATTGTTTGAAGTGGTCTCGAGTGATGTCTTTGATTTGTAAGGGGTCTGTGATGATTGAGATTGTGCTATCCATTTTATGTTGGACAAGTCTATCTGTTGTTATTGATTGTTTGTGATAATTGAGAATACTATTAATCATCTTTTTGAGGTTGTCTTTGAGTTTTTGAAACGTTTGCTATGTATGTTTTTGAATTTGTTGTGCATTATCTTTTTTAATTAGTTTTGTTGCCAGTCTTCTTTCTATTCTCCATATGTTGTGAATTGATGTGAGCCATTCTTTCCCTTCTTGTGGCAGTTCTATGCTGTTTCATGTGAAAAGTGGGTTGAGGATTTGTTTTTCTTTCTTGTTTAATTTTGTTACTAATTTGATTATATTTTATTCAAGTTCTGTGGATCTTTCTTGTAGTTTTGTGAGTCATTGTCTATATTTTCTATATATTTGTCCTGTGAGATATGTGTTTTTAAGTATGTTGTTGTGATGTGGTGATCTTTGGCTTTGACATCCTTTTCTAAATTTTTGTTTTTTGAGGTTTCTATTAGCTGCTTGTAGGATGCTTTCTTTAAGGAGACTCCAAATCTTGTCTGCTTAATAGTTGTTTTCAAGGATTGCTTTTGCTATATTGATTGATTTTACCTCCAGATCATCTGTGAATTTTTTCCATTGTTTTGCTGTTGTGTTTATAAAGTCATATTTGGATCTGTGAAAATTTTTTGGATTGGTTGTTCCTGTGAGGTTTTGGAGAGCTATTAGTTATATGGTTATGATCTTGTGATTGCTACTGGTTATAGTTTTGGATGCGATTATATTGGCTTTTGTGATGCTGTTTGCTAAATTAGGTGATGTCCAGATATAGTCTATTCTACTTCCATACTTGGATAAGGGTCTTATATATATAAATTCTGCTGTGTGAGGATGAAGCTCTCTGTATGTATCAATATAGTTGTGTGCTAGTAAGTAGGTAATAAGACTATTATCTTTTCTTGAGTGTGTTGGGTTGGTGCAATCAAGGTGTGAATTGATGATTTCATTGAAATCACCCAGAAGGATGATATACATATTTTGTTTCTCTCCTTCCCTAATTTTCTTGAGTGTTCATATGATTAATTCCATTCTTTTTGTTTTTTTCTGGTTGTTCGCTGGGATGTATATGTTAATGATTCTGTATTTGTTTTTGTTTTTAAATGAAAGGTCTACTAGTATTCCTTTGTTGAGGGCTGATTGGATGTGATATACATGTGGGTACCATTTTTTGTTAATTATGAAACCTACTCCCGATCCGTTGTAGTTGTGTTTGAAATCAGGTTGTGATTGTATAATGTTATATAACTTGTTTATGTCTCAGATATAGTTGTTAGATGGTAGTGATGTTTCTGTGATTCCAATAATGTCTATATGTGCTTCTTGCATATAGTTGATTATTAAATTAAGTTTTGTTATATCATTTAAACCTCAAACATTGTGTGTTGCTATTTTCCATGAATTTTTTTCCTCCTCTAAAGGATTGATTTTTTCTTGTTGTTCTGTCATTGGGTGAAAGTAGTTGGAATGTTGTGCGTACTGTTTGCAGGAGGAGTGTTTGATAATAGTATAAATGTGTTGATGAGTTTTTCTATCGTTTCATCCATCTTGTTGATTTTTTGGTTAATTTGGACTTGTGCTTCTATAAGGTCTGAGTTGTTGTTAGTGTTCATGTTTTCCATTGTTGTTGCTTGTAGGTCCTCTTCTATTTGTTCCATCTCATCAAAGTATCTGTTGGCTATATCTGTTTCTAAGTAGCTGATTCTATTGTCTAAAAGTTTTACTTCTTTATGTCTTTCTTTTATTTCTGCTCAAATTTTTTTTAACATTTGTGATATTTGTTGATAACTGTCTGATGTGTAGTTGTTTGCTTTATTTGAGTGTTTGGTCACTTCCGTGTAGCTTCTTGTTGAGCTTTTTCATATATACAAAGGTAGATTGAGTTGATTTGGATATGTTGGGGTTATATATTTTCTTTGGTAATTTTGATTATATTGTGTATTGTCGTCATAGTTGTATATGGGTTTTTTTGAGCAGTCTCTTGATTCATGCTTGTGTGAGCAACAATAAAAACAGATTTTTGCTGATCTGTCTACCCATGTAATGTCATGTCCTTTGACCTGGAAGTTTTGATTGGTTGCTTGTTTTCTGTCTTTTTGGTTGTGAAATGCAAATATGGCTAGTCTTTTATAGTTATTGTCATCTTTTTTGGGAATATAGCATGTTTGTGCATTGACCTGTTTGATAATGTGCTCTAGATTTTTTGCTGTGATGTTTTCAAGGAGGTTTGCAATCGTGGCTGTGTACTTGTTCCTGTTCTCTTTTGCTTCCCTTGTTCCAAAGTATGGGAAAATTCTTATGTGATAGTTTTTGTAAGAGATGGACCATTTTTGGTTAAGTTCTTGATAGTCATCCATGTTGTGTAATGTAACAGTACTCGACAAACAGGAATTGGCCTGTTGGATTGTGATTTGATTGATCAGTCTGTAATTAGTCAGTGCTGTTGCTATGTTTTTTTTGGTAAGATCTGTAGGAATGTCCCAGATGCAAATTGTGCATGAGAGTGCTTTCTTTATATCTGTAGCTTGGACTTTTTTGAAGAAGATATTGCCTCCTTTTATGAGCGGAATTGTACATGCCTGTTCTGCTTCATCATGTTTTCCGAAAAGTGCCATCAATATTTTTTTTCCTGTGTAATTTTTATATTTTGTGTATTTGTATAAGGAGATTTTGGCCACTTTCTTTTTAATATATTGAAGTTTATTTGTTGGGGTGACTCCTGGAATTTTTTCAGGATCTATGGCAATTTTTGTGAGTCTGGTATGTTCTGTGGTAGTATTATCTTTTCTTGTAATTTGTTGATCTTTGTCTGTGGAACTATATTCTTGATTAATGATGTTTTTGCCTTTGCCTTTATCTATTTTTGTGTAGGGTTGCTCTATATCTAATCCTTCATCCATGTCTGTTATTTCCTGGCTTTGGAGAACTTCTTCCATGTCGGTGTCTTTGGTGATTGTTAGTTCTGGAATTGTCAAGAGGATGCATTGAGTTGGAAGTCCTTTGTTGATGAATGTCATGTTGTTGTTGTTGTTGTTAAGAACTTCTTGGTTGTTGGATGTGTCCTTATTGTATTTAATTTAAAATGTTTAATTAACTTATAAAATTATTTTTATTATTATCTAATTTTTATTATAATTTTTTATTATTACATAATTTTTGTTTACATTTTTTTATTTGTTTAAGTCTTTGTTCATTGCTGAAATCCTTTTTTCTAATTCTCTATTTTCCAATAGTAGTTTCAAATTATTTTTAGTATTTTAATAGTCCTTTATAGATTCTTCTATAGTAATAATTAGTGGATCAGTCATTTCTTCATCTTTGCTACTTGAATTTTTTTCTTTAAAACCAAGTCTTTTTTTAATTCTCTTCTAAAAATATTATTAGTAATAATTTATAATACTTCAAAAATTTTTAAAACTTATCTTATTTTTTTCTACTTTGCTTTTAATTAATATTTCATTTATTGAAATACTTTCATTATTTGAATCAAGAACTGTTTGACATATTGTAATAGCAAATGCCACTTGTTTATTGAAGATATCTTTTTTTAATTAGACTTTTTTAAAAATATGAGCCATTATGTTTTGTGTCTCTCCTCTTGGACAGTTGTAAAGATTTTTAAAGCATTTAGCAATCTTCTGAGATTATTTTCAGGTCAAAATATCAATAAAAATTGCATTTTTATTTACTGTATTCAAATACCCTTTATAAAAAAACTAAAAATATAGTATTACAAACTTTCGAAGCCATAGTTTCACAAAGTGAATGATACTATTTTACAAACTTTTAAAGTAATAAATTGTTTAATAATTAAAGAACTAAAGTTATTAATATTTATAAAAATTACCACTTGGTAAATATACTTTTCATAATATATTTTTTAATATTTTCTTGTGAGACTTTTATAAAACTCTGAATATTTTTGCTGAAAAAATTCCTTAATTGTTTGGCAAAAATTTTAATGTTTCAGATATATTTTTTTTTTTGAAAAGAGCAAATGGCTATTACGCTTTATTATATTTATTATACTTTCAGTTACAAGGTAAGGTACAATAATCAATAGCACAACATATGTCTCTCTTTGCTAGGAAGAGTTTAACGCAAGGCTCCCATATAAGGCCCAACTCCTGTACTCTTTTAGCACTATCCAAGAAATATAGACAAAAAGAAATTCAAAAATCTATATCTGATTATGAATGGCATCCAGCTACCTGGAATTAAATGTATACCTAATATCATGAAGGCGCTGCAGCCAATCTATACAGGTTGGCCTCCAAGTCATGATTAGGATTGACACACCTGCTTTCCAAATATGACTTGATGTACAGCAAGCAGAGTGGTATTGGAGGTGGTGAAAAATGAGTACCTTTTTGTATGAAGGTGCTGCAACTACTTTATACAGGTTTGCCTCCAAGTCACAAAAAGGATTTGGCACACCCATGCTTCAAATGTGGCGAAAGTGTCCTATGGGTGGAGTTGTTTCATAATATTTTTAACTGTATACTATTTAAATTAAATATAAATTTTCAAAAATCTTTAAAAAGATTTAAAATAAATCTGATTTTAATGAAATCATATTCAATAATTAAATACTGACTTGTATGAATTTCATTTTCCAGGTAAGTAATCTTATTCTTTATAATTTTTTGCCATTCTAACAATTGATCAATTTTTTTATAAAAATCTTTATAGAACTTTATAATTTTTTTAATGCTTTTATTAAAAACTAAATGTTTTTTTTTTTTTTTAATCCTGCAATCAGGTTGGTGTCGTTTATTTATTAAATCATAAAGAACTATCACACGCACGAGAATACATGCAAAGTACAAATTTCCCCGACCCAACTCACCCGTCTTTAGCCAAAGCCTCTAGATGCGATTTATGGGGGTGATGTATTGTTCCCCTAAAGGATGGGATTAAGATCCCAAATTTCCGATAG